CGAAGAATCTGATCTAATCTAATCGTAGTGGTAATTACGTTACGATTATACCGTATGATCGAAAAAAACGCCGTCAGCGGTGGCTACGAAATGCCATCAATCGTCATTTCCCAGCTAACTGGACGCCGTTTTTTTTTCTCGATCAGACGGTACTAAGCTTTATTTTCGCCCTTTAAAACGGCGTTAAGTTGGTTTGGATATGAACGATCTATGACATGACATTCACATATAATTCTACGTATAAAATAACAGCGAACTTCATTTCTATAAGCCAACTCTTACGCTTTTTTTCTAGATCGTATCGCATTTCTTAGGTATCTACCCCTTCATACACAACATTTTTTTTTAGATTAAATAGGTGCAAGTTCGCTTTATTTTATTTCATTTTTTAAGCATTAAAAGTTAACAATTTCTCTTTTTTATTGATATACCTAATCAAAGACATCATACACTATGCTTTTTTTTACTGTTGTATAATCGTCCATCGCAGATTTATATGGAGAACAATAAGAAAACGCATTCCAAATACAGTATTTTTTTTATTTGGCGAAATCTCTCTTAAGATCAACAAATAAGTATACAGTTTCATCGTTACCAAAACAAGAATGTGTATGTATCTCCATCATTCATTACTCCCATGTTCTTGATTATAGTGGCCCACGTGAAAGTGCAGTCTCTGTCCCGTAATGATCAGAAATAAACGATTGTCGTACAGAGTCGTACATAATTTATTTACCGTATTTTTTTTTAAATACAAAAGTTTGAGCCATAGCAAATAAGCCGGGGGTGTCTCACTTGGATAAGAAACGTACTGCCAAATGCCAAGCAACTGTCAATGACTGCGAAAAAGACTGCCTATTTCTGTCATAATTATAGTCGATTGATGCCAACGACTGCTACTGCTATATAGCGACTGCCAAGAAAATGTACATGTAAAGATGATATTATATTAGTTTTATTGGTTGAATTTAAAGACTTTGATTGGTTAGAAACAAATTGATTGGTTAACCAATCAAAGCCTTTAAATTCAACCAATAAAATTAATATCGTATCATCGTATCGTCGGACAACGGATGCATGAAAATCAAGCTTAATTCCTACAGTGAGACACCCCTTGGAATAAGCTTATATATATATTTTGCGTTATATAACATATGTTTTTATCCATATTATTATTAACTAGGCAAAACAAACACTCCGGCGTTGGTTATGAGCTATGGCTATGAACTATATACTCCTTATCACTCCAATACTGTATGAAAAATTATTTCATCTGTTGACTGATAAAGTTCTACAAAAATTTGATACATCCTGTATTTCTGATTAAAATCTATTGGAAACAAATTAAATAAATGAAAATACATAAAATATATTACTAAAACAAACAAAATAAAAATTCTTATATAATTTACCAACAAAGAGTACATATTTGTAAATTTGAACTGACAATTAATTTGATACATACATGGTGTCCCAATATTCCGTGGACATAGAACTACGTATTTTTGTAATCAAAATAGGTTGATTGTTCAATCAATCATAGTTCTTCGTCATTGGCGTAACCACAGGGGTACCAGTTGGTACAGCCCCCCTCCCCCCCCGATACTGCTGGACACCGCTCAGAGAAATGTTGAATTTTGACTGAGCGATGACTCTTGGCTAAATATTAATTTTTATTTGCTTGTGATGTAGTAAAAATGACTTTCCATTTTTGTTTAGTTAATATTATTTTGCTTTGTTCAAAAAATGTATGTAGTTTTTATTTGTTTACAAAACTTGTATGTATTTAATTAATCCGCGGGAATATGTGGTTGATAACCAAATCATTGATTATATAATTTATTATTTATCATTGATTATATCATTGATTATATAATTTATTGATTGAGAAATTCATGTAAATGTTCTTCGGTCCTACAAAAAAGGTATTTATTTTTAATGATATTATTCTTCATTTAAAAAAAAAATAAAATTTCTAGGCCCCCCGTGGGTTTATCCCTAGCCCCCTCCTCAGGATGAATTGCTGTAGAAAGAACCTTTATAATGTATTATTTGCTTCTGAAGCTTACTGTCAATTTTATGTATAATTTGTGATATTAATATAAAATTCCATATTTTTGCCAACTAGATTATTAGCGCCAAACAGACAAACGAAATACTTTTGTATAGAAGTAAATTGTGTAAAATGAACTTATTTTGATTCCAAAAATACGTAGTAACATCTACATGGAATATTTTAGGACACCCTGTATCATGATTATTAGATTATCATCAAAAAAGTATCTGATAAAAAAATACATATGTATGTATACGTAAAAATGTTTGCTTTAAATCATCAAAATAAAAATTACAGCAGGTAAGTATTTCTCATTATTATCTTAGATGTAAATTTTCACCTATAAACAGAAATCTATGAAATATAATTTAAGTGAAGTGTTTTTAAGATTTAATATATTGTATTATTATCTTTATTATCAAATGATTAATATTGTATATGATTAATACAATAAAATTATGATATTTTTATCTTATCAGGGCATTTAATTATAGTAAACAGAACCGGCTTCAGCAGGAAAATTTAAAGGTATGAACCGTATGAACAAATAAAATATATAGTTTATTTTAAATTGTTAAAAAAAACATCACCATTTGACAGTAAAATATGTCACTCACACATGACATAGTACTCAAATTATTATCAATCGTTGACGAAATTTTACGATTGAGGCGTTTTTTGCAAAAACCCCATTTGTATTTTTTTTTTAAAAAATGTACATCACAGTTAAAGATTTCGCCAACAGACTACATAAAAAATATGACACCCTGAATTAAAATGACATATGACAACTGTCACTGTCATGTATCATCTCGCTGGACTATATCGTTGGAAAAACTATACAGGGTGTCCCAGAAATAAGTGCAAATATTTTAACTTGTAGACGGACCCCAGAAACACGCCTATGAGGTTTTTTTCGCAAAAAAAAATTTTGAAAATTCGAATTTTTTTTGAAAAATTGTTTGGAAATTTTTTTAGTTTTTAGTTAAAAAACATAATTTTTTGATAATATGGCAACATAGGTATTAGATTAAATTTACAAGAAAGAAAATCCAGAAAAGATTCAGTGGTTCTCAAAATTTTAGCAAAAAATTATTTTTTTTGGAAATTTTCAAAGTAAAATAGGTAACTCCGTTATTTTGGACTTATTTGAAAAACGACGAAGAGAAAATATGTTTCTTTTATCGAGATCTACCACCCCTTAAAATATTTGCACTTATTTCTGGGACACCCTGTATAGTAGAAAAAATATTTTGGCCTACGGTACCTAGAATTTTAGGCAATTTGTGAAGTAAAAGCACAGGTAAAAGTAACTACATAAAATCTTAAATTTATAAAATAATGTATTCATTTAAAAAAAACAAAAATTCCTATAAAGGTAGTCAATAACAAATAAGTTAGTCATCGGCGGAACGAAATTTGCATAAGAAAATATATAATATATACTAAATAACAAATATTACGGATTACGGTATATCTACATAAGGAAACCATATAGATATTTTATTTTTAAGCATACATACTAAGGATAACAAGGCGGTAATAAATATAAAACAGATCATAGTTCCAAGAAATGGAAATTTATTAGATTTATTTGTATTTCCACTTTCCTCCTTTAAATTACACAGGGTAACTCTTAATTAAGTGCAAATATTTTCAGGGCTGGTAGATCTCGATAAAAGAAACCTATATTTTCTCTTTACCGTTTTTCAAATAAGTCCAAAATAACCGAGTTACTTTACTTTGACAATTAAAAAAAAGATTTTTTCTTAAATTTTGAGAACTACTGGATCTTTCCGAGTTTTCTTCTTGTAAATTAGGTACAACATAGGTAGTATATTATGTTGCCATATTATCAAGAAATTATGTTTTTAACTAAAAAAAATTTCCAAAATATTTTTTAAAAAATTCCAATTTTTTTTCAAAAAAAATCGAAACTTTTAATTCCTTTTTCGCTTAAAAAGGCTCATAAATGTGTGTCTATGGCCGAAATATACTACCCCTAAAAATATTTGCCCTTATTTAAAACTCACCCTGTATAGATAATACCGCGTATGATCGAAAAAAAAACGGCGTCTAGTTGGCTAATGACGATCGGTGACATTCCCTATATAATTTTACATATAAAAATATATTAGATAGTTTTAAAATATATAAGATAAAATTTTAAACAATGTGTTTAAATTTAATAACTTTTAATTATTTTTTTTATCATTATTCTTTCCATGATACAAACCAAACATTTTTATAAAATAAAAATTTGTATTCAGAAGGAATCATTTTCTTTTTCTGTATTGTTATTATAGTTACCTATCGCTTCTAATGCATTTTAATATCAGTAACTGTTTACTACAAAACATGTAGGCATCTTATCGACTCGTAAGTGCCATTTTAATGTCGCATTTGTTGAACTTATCAAGGATATATCATTTTGCAATATTTTTAACGGGTTTTCTACCGCTAAATAACCGAAAAGTTTGTTATATTTAAGGCCACAGGGCCAGAACTGAGTCATATGGTGACGCAACATATAGGAGACCCTTTTGGGCAATTACACCCAACCTGGTCCGCAAGAAGATCGATATCAGAACAGAAAACATTATTTATTAATTCTAGAAGTTATTTTTCGTTAACATTTTCTTATTTTTGCTTTTTTATCGACCTGTATGGTGGGTATTTTAAGGACAAAACATAAACTTTACAATCTGTTTGGTCTACGACTTTTAAATACAATTCTCTATCAATAAACTTCGTGAAAATAACCCATTAACGCCGTATATCCTTAAATAGTTCGATTTATTATAATATCGAGTCACCCTGCACTAAATAGGCGTAAAAATAATTAAATTAATTCAAAAATGACGATTTGAAAATGCATATTTTGCGAACGAACGTTGGCAGCCATGAGCGTCCGCAGACGGGCGGTGGGGACCTATATAAACGTTGCGCGCCATCAAATCGCTGCATTTGTGAGAGTCGCATCGATAAGAGAGTTATATTTGTGTTTATCTAGTAGTAATTTTTATATCTTAAATAAGTCAAAATGAGGGAAATTGTACACATTCAAGCCGGTCAATGCGGAAACCAGATTGGAGCCAAAGTAAGTTTCTGTTTTTTGTGTATTAAAACGTTTCAGTTATTTCAATCTAGTGACCTCATTTTTGTACGTCTAGCTTCCGTTGCGGCCATCTTACGATTTTGCTCTAAGAATGAATCGGTTCTTAAGTATTTGAATCGATTTTTAATTTTATTTACTGTTCGTTTAGTTATCAATTTTTATTAGAGAGCGATCACCAGATATTCTGTTTATAGCGTTCGATACCGGCTTTTTTCTACTAGCTGTTCTGAAAATACGTGTTCACTACGAATTTTTCATTACGTAGAGTAATTTCAATCGATTAAATTGTGTGAATCTAGATATTCGAAGAAAAGAATTTTTATTTTATGAATCTATAAAGATAGGGCGGTTTCCTTTACCTTTTATATAGTAGGTATCTACGTTTATTCCAATCACCATCTGCCGGTACTACTATTCTATATGAAAACATCTGTCAGACATACCGGCAAATTAACGGTTTTTTCGTGATCTCAAATTTAAATATTTTTCCGTTTGTTATGCTTTCTAATTACGTTACTTTTATAAGTTTTTCTTATCTATAGACATTGACTAATTTTTTAAACGTGATCTGTGTAACCATGCAATTAAATTTGACTTGTTCAAATTAATTTAATTAGAACTGTCAGATAATTTATGGAAGTCTGGTGATAAAAATTTCCTTTCAGGTATTTTTACTTTGTCATATAAGTTTAACGGGTTCTTTTTAAAGATTTTCCTGTTTAATTTCGTATTGAAAATAATATAATCACTAAGCATCCGGTAAAAATATAAGATCACATCTCTGGTTTCAGCGACCGTTGGAAGACATACGTGTTCAGCACAGATAGTACGTGGAATATGACCGTTAAAAAAGGCGGGGCATATATGCTTTTTTCTTTTTAAACATGAGCGGTTTGTCTTCATTTTTATCGTTTCCATGGTTTTTCGTTTTGTTTACGGTGTTATTTAATACGGAGTCTGTTTTTCCGCTATCGACCACACAACGTGAAATTTGTTTTGCTTGACAATTTAATATTTTACACTTTTGAATTTTTTGCCCCTTAAATAAAAGTTTATACATACAATAATTTTAGATCATTACGGTTTTGTCTTTTTTTGACAGTATGTCCTCGGATTGTCTTTAAAAGAGGAAACACTTTTTTATAAACATTTTTAGAAAAATTAATCCTTTATAAAAAATTTTGCTCGTTCTAACATGGTTCCTCTTTATACTTTTCCACATTTCCAGACAGTTTTAGACCAAAAATATATTTTTTTCTTTTTTGATTTATATTTATACAGGGTGATCCGAACTGTACTCTGGAAACTTCGGCAGCATCTTCTGCAGATAAAAATAAGAAAAAATGTTCGTATAAACGTATGTCCTAAAATGCTTAGTTTCGGAGATAGGGTGCCTACCTAGAAGTTTCATTTTTATTTCGATATTTTTCCAAATTATTTTTGAAGTAGCGTCAATATTTGGATATTTAAATGGGTGTCAGGTGTTGTTTGGCATGAGAAATTTGATTTCTGTGCTCTATTTGTAGGGGGCACCACTTAATGTGTTTAACTGTTTTGAAGGGTTATAACTTTTCGTCCGTACCTGTATAAAATTACTGACTACTGCTTTGACTACTGAGTAAAAAAATACATTTACGACGTTTTTTTTAATGTAAAAAAGGTCTCTTGGTAAAAATCTCTACGAGTTAATCGTATCAATACCTACCTGTCATCATTGACATAAATTAAACATGTTGACCAAATACCGTATGATCGAATAAAAACGGCGTCAGCGATGGCTATGAAATGAAGATCGCTGTCATTTTATATGTAAATTTATATAGGAAATGCCATCGATTGTCATTTCCAAGCCAACTGGACGCCGTTTTTATTCGATCATACGGTAGTTATTATGGACTGAAATCATAAGTTTAAAGTGTGTTTGCGCCAAAAGTTCGACAGAAACTGTTTTATCATCATTTTTTTGCAGAAAAACTTAAAAATTAATTAATTTAAAAAAATATATAAAATTTCCCCAATTTATTATTTCAGTCAATTAACTATCTATTCAACGTGTTTATTTTTTGTCAGTGATGACATGTATTGATTATTTCCATTCTAAATATCTTGAGAAGGGTGGCTTGTAACGATTTTACAGAGATACATTTTTTACGTAAAAAAATCACGGAAATGTATATTTTGAAAGTTTTATAACTACAGGTACGGACAAAAAGATATTACTCTTCAAACCAGTTAAAAAATATGTAGGTGGCGTCCTCTACAAGTAGGAGTCATATTGACATCAAAATCAAATTTCTCATGTCAAAAACCACCCAGACAC